TCGCGCTTCAGAGAAATTGGGCACATAGGAATACACAGTCTCAAGAGGATAATCCCACCAAGAGACACCACCAAGACTTAGGACATGATAATGTTTTTACTATGCACCCCTAGACCCCACAAAGTTAATAACAGGCAAGTGACAATATTCAAATAACACCCACCTAAAATAATAACTCGACACTTGTCATTCAAAGCTTCATGATACCAACTAATACTAAAACCACTCTTCGTCCACAATAAAGGAGATCTTTGTGCTTTATCGTACCCTTGAATATTAGTAATATCAAAAATAAATAACTTTTGAGTTGAGTGATATTTCTGATGGGAAGGACTTTTTTTAAAACACGAAAAGACGCGTTGGTTGACAGGTCGATTTGGAAAATTTGCAATCACAGCTTACGTACGTTATTCTACGAAAATGCGTGTAAACATCTCGAAACGATATTATATAAAATAAAAGTAATGTAATAAACCGAAGAAGACTGATATTGTCAAAACTCAAAACTCAAGAGAGAGAGAAATAAAAACCAAAACTGTTTACACGTACATTTTTATTCAGAAAATCACATGTCTATGCAAATGACGTCATTTAAAATTTTGAAATTTCGGCAACTGAACTATCACATTCGTTTAAAGGTCGGTTTTAATGACAAAAATGTTTCTTAATTAAGAAAAATTACGTAACATATGTTTATTTCTTATCATTTAAAACAATTTAGGATAAATAAACAGTAGGATTTTTATGATTTGTCAGGTCTGACGCCGTATTTTTACAAGGTTCTCGAATACGATCATCATTCGGGATGTTAAATATGGTTAAGATTTTTTAATCAATAATCTTGTAACCTGAAAAATAAATGAGGAAAATCTCTTAAAATTCATATTAGTATACAATAATTAAAGAATATCGATCTACAAAAGCTTTATGATTCTAATTTTTATATTGTGTCTTTATTAAGGAACAATGCGGAATTTTTTTATTAATAGATTTTTCCTTACAAAAAAACTTAAGATTCCTTATTTAATTAACAAGTAATTTCCGAATTCCAATAAAATCATTTTGATTAGTTTCATGATATTGCATGTTTTGATTTTGTGCTCAAAATGTAAATTTCACTTTGGTTTATAATGGTTATTATTTTGAACTCCTTAAGAACGAGAGAACAAATAATAATTTATTTAGAAGAAATTATTTTTTCATTTTGACTTGATAAGGAATTCGTTATCTTAAATGTAAATTAAATCTCGTTAATCAAATCAACTAGACCTATAAGAGTGAAAAAACCCGTTCAAAAAACTAAAAAAGGATTAAATTACATTTAATTATTATTTCTTTTTATAGATTATAGTAATGGAGATTTTTTTTTAAATGAATAAATTATTAGATTTGATCACAATAAATATTATGTTAGATCGATCAAAGTTTAAATTGAAAGAACCTCATTATAGATATTAAGGGTTAATAATATTCCGGTAAAATGAGATGAAAAATTTCCTTTTGAGATTTCAATGACAGTTTACTTTTAATTAATCTAAAAGACAATTCATGCTTTTCTCGTATCGTTTAAAAAAGTTTAACTCGATTGCATTGAAAATATAAAAGGCATTAGTCCAAACACACATGAATTAAAATTTCCTTTTACAATCATAATGGCTTTGTTAAATTAAACTTTTGAGCGATACAAGTAAAGCATGAATTGTCTTTAGATTAATTAAAAGTAAACTGCCATTGAAATCTCAAAAGGAAATTTTTCATCTCCCACATGTAATCCTTTTCTATGGCTTTACGATATAAAGGGCACGTTCGCCCACTTCATTTCATCGTCATGCAATCATGAGTCCAATATCTGTTTATATGAAGTCTAAACGAACTAAAAAAATCAAAATCAACCGTGATCCAAACGTTCCAGTTATTACCGAAAGAGAATTATTTGCCAATATACCGCCACAAATTACCTACTCTGCCCAAACTCACTATGATTTTTTTAATCATGGGAAGTCGCGTTTTCCTTCCAAAGTTTTCCATTGGAATGATTTTACTGAAATGGTTAAAAATCATAATATTGATGACGTCTTGAAAAAGTACGAGCGACCAAAAATTACATTGGGTCATGCGCCAGTGAGTACCAAAGAAGAATTGGTTCAGATTATTGAAATTCAAATCATAAACGCTCTCACAAGTAAGCTAAACCACGACGATATAGAATTAAGTAAACTCACTGAAAATTTATTGATTGATTGGAATGTGGTTACCCATCAAGATCAAATTCTTGCATCGATTGCTTTGCGGACTCGACGCGTTCTTCGTCTTAAAGAGGATGATGATGTCATTCAAGCTTATCGACAAAATACAGGAGATTTTGCTGATAATATCAATGAAGTCTACGATTACATGTGTGAATTAGGTTTAAAATATTCGATATTAACTACTTATGAATGCACTTGGTTTTTGAAAAGATCAGAGGATGATAATTCAATCTTATTGATTTCCCCGTGTCAAAGAAATGATAATAATGATCCGACAATCTTGCAATTTTATAATTATTTATTACATTTATCAAAGAACGAACCTCTAATGTCCCCAAGTCCAACTGTTATCAAAGAAATCGATTACTTTCGCGATGATTATTTGGATTATGATTCTGAAACTTTTTCCGGTCCTTCTCATAAACGTTTATATTCGGGTTCCGAAGAAGGTAATTTTGAAATTAAAAAGTTTCGTCACGATGAAAGCATAACAGAAGGGTCGCGTCGTATTTATGATGATGATCAAACTATTATTCGCGGTGTTTTGGATTGGAATAAAGTCATCATCAAAAACGAGATTGGTACTTCCTCGAACGGGAATATTTATTTAGTCGAATATAATGGAGAACAACTTGAGGCAAAGTTTACGGATGGAGATGACTGGAAGAGAGCTGATTTGGAAAAAGAAGCTCGAATATACAACCGGCTCTCAACCTTACAAGGAGTTCATATCCCACAAGTGAAATATATTGGATTCACTTTAAAAGGTGAAAAATATGTCTTTGCTACCGAACACATTACGAAAACTTCGAGATTGTTACAAAGATATAAAGAGAAGGCTTTAAATGCCATCAAAGAAATTCATAGTGCTGGTATCATTCATATGGATATCTGCGAATCAAATTTTATTGTAGGACATATTGACGATAAAGATGAAGAACGCGTTTTTGTTAGAGGATTTTTTAATTCTAAAGATTTTAAAGATGAACAACATGCTCCCATAGCTTCTTACCATATTTACATGGAGAACGAAAAGAAAAAGGTTGAAGATTTATTCGATCAACTTCAATATTAATTTTTTTAAATCTTTTTTTTTTTTTTTTTAAATTATTAATCGTTATTTAAGATATTAAGTTTTTATTTTATGATTGTTTTTCTCCTCTCCCCCTTTTTTTTTATTTCTCACTTCCTACAAAAAAAAAATTTCAATGCTATGATGGTATATTTTATATAGTTATTTATATGCTTTATAATAAGTAATTTATGGCTAATACTAAAGTTATATTATGATTAATCACCTTTTTGAGAGTATAATATGATAAATTATGATAAATAATATATAAAAATTAAGTGATGTTATATTGTTTAACAATTACATTTTATATGAATTTCATTTATAGAAAAATATTATTATTAATTAAATCTTTGCTATCTTGATTATATAAATATTAATTTATAAAATAAATGTTATTTAATTAAGAAATTATTTTAATAAATACTGTATTTGTAGAAAAATATTATTATTTAGTAAATAAATATTATTTTATTAAGATGTTATATTTTATATATAAACATAATATCTTTTTTATTTACAAATTATTTTCTATGATCCGAAACTATCCGAAACCCTAAATTTGGAAAGATTTTTGCAGATCAAATTGGCGAAACTAGTTTCGCCCGAAACA